GTATAGCAAGGAAAAGTACGAAATCAGTGACATTAAGAATTGTATCAATGGAAAAAAAAAATTATTTGAATTATGAATAAGTGGAGCCTGTACCTTGCGGAGTTTTCCTTCATCAACAAACTTTCTTCTGGGGGCTTGAATTGTAGAGCTCACATTTGACTTCAGAGAGCTATCGGTACCTGTGCTCAGGTTTGGGCCATTTGGCTGGCCAATTCTACAGAGAGCTGGTGGAGCAACACCTGACAACTGCAAACAGGGACAGATCAGTGATGATACAAGAATTTCATATTTTTATTTTGACAAATATAAGTTTCAATGTTTTATTTCAGGTACCCACAAGCAACATGAGATGACAACTAAATCGTATATATTGAGTGATTATGTCCTAAAGACTCTAGCATTGAATTTGTTTTAGATTTGGTCCTTAATTTTAGGAGAAAATTGTACAAATGGTCCCTCAACTTTAATCAAATTGGAGCAATGGTCCCTCAACTAAAAATCCATTACCTTTGGTCCCTCAACTTATCAAAACGTGCAGCTATGGTCCCTCAACTAAAAATCCATTACCATTGGTCCCTGAACTTTAATTCAAGTGGAGAAATGGTCCTTTAACTTTAATCCAATTGTAGCAATGGTCCTTCCAATATAACTCGTTTTGACAAATTTTTTGACATAGTTGACGAAAAGAACCATAATTATACACTTTGATGAGTTAAGGGACCCTAGTTATATAAATGGTCATTCCAACATAGCTTATTTTGACAAAATTTTGATAAAATTGATGAAAATGACTATAACTACACATTTTGATAAGTTGAGGGACCAATGGTAATGGCTTTTTAGTTGAGGGACCATTGCTCCAATTTGATTAAAGTTGAGGGACCATTTGTACAATTTACTCTAATTTTAGAGGTGTGGGTGTTTATACATAACAGTAGCCTGCAGTACCAGATTCCCATAAGTTTATATTCTTCAAATTATCTTTGCTTTAAGGCTTTCGGAGATTTTTAAGGAGTCAAATGATTTTTATATGAACCTTGGTTAGCAATGTGCTTATTGGGTAGGTGTCTTAATTGGGAACCTTAGCTGCCTGCTGTGCGAAATTTCAGCAACCAGGTTTCCTCAAATCAGCCCCTCCTTCCCTCCTTTTGACCCATAATCAAACCATACTTTGATTTACAAATCCTAAACCTCTTCTCCTACAGCCTTATGTCTTTCGACCACAACTTTCCAAATCCTAAAGCCTGGCATATCCAATTGTAGGCAATATTTGCACTTATCCTACATAAATTGGTCTAATTTCAAAAAGACCAAACATATCAGTAAAGAAACCAAATACTTCATTTCAAGACAAAACCTACCTGAAGTGGTCCAGACACATAGTTACAATAGTTACAAAGCCATAACAGACCTTAAATCATTTGATACCAATAGTAAGATAAGAGTAAGCACTGGTAGAAAGGACAGAGATACAGCAATAAATGCAGGACTGCTAGAGAAAAATTGGAGGGGACAACTTATATATACCTGCATGGGCATTGGGGAAGGAGTGTTAAAGAAAGATGAACCAGAAGTGCCATTTACAGGATGACCAGACACTCCGCCCAAACTAACATGAGAATTTCCAGACAAATCTCTTGTATTATTTCCTTGAACATGTTTCAATTGTCTCTGGCCAACATCTTCAGAGCTAAAATTCCTGCCAGAAACTAAATTGCAGTCCTCATTCAGGGTAAGTAAACTTTGAGAAGCTAATCCATGATGTAGATACTGTTTTTGTATGGAAAGAACGGCAGCTTCACCAAAAACTACAGCTGCTTCTTCAGCAGCACCTGAAACAACGGAAAATACAAAGCCTCAACATATGCATCTGAAGGCACCAAATCGCCATAAATAATCAACACAGAATTTTCGATTTAGTAAAACCATTAATTAACCAGTTGCAAAAAAACTATATTATTTTCACAAGATGCCATATCAATAAAAAAACGTCCAAAAGTAAAATTGTGGACATGGGGGCCACTCTAAAAGTACATTCATATAGAACAAAAGGCTCTAATCTGCCTACACTATTACTTTGATGTGTGTAACACTGTACGGACCTAATATGCACAGCTCTTCGTAAGCAGTCCACATACAAGGATCAATAGTCAAAGCCTGCTTAAAGTGATGGATGGCACTTTTCCTTCTGTCAGTATACCTAGAACAATACCAATTATAAACAATAAAATCATGAGAGGTACAATAAAATCATACAATCCAGCATACAATTACTGTAAAGTACGGAAAGAGATACTTAAGTAGTTGCAAGACGCTACAAATTCAACTAAAAGGTAGCATACCTAAATTAATATAGCACAACAAAATCCTCTATCCCAAGAAACATGCAAGCAGAGAGACAAAGGGATCAGTTCAGAAGAGGACACTTTGCCAATCAGAAGAATTTCACAAGCACCATCAATAGTTCACCTAACCCTACTAGAAGGAAGAAGATTCAAACCTAAAGACCCCAAAAGATATTTCTTGGAGGAACAACAACATTACTACTAGAATTCACATCTTAAATGAGTGTATGTTTTTTTGTTCAGCCTGATAAAATAGATTGATTACATCAATTTTAACCATCTTCACAAACAAATCCTTTTCAAGAAACTTATAAAGTATCCCTGTAACAAAGGTAATGCATACAAAGAAGCTCCAGAAGACAGGAGACAAACCTGTATATAAGCCCTAAAAGGTAATGACCAGCTGCGCCATTTGGAACCTGCCAAAGGAATAATAAGCAAGTCATCTGCTGTTAGAAACCACATGAACAGGCTGAAAACTGAATACCAATATCAACATTTGGAACACTTAGCAGAAATTACATAATGTCTAAATGGTTAATGCCATTCATTTCAACTCCTATTATGTAGAAAACAATGAAAAATGTTTTAGCAAGCAAGACTTGAAAAAGTAACTATGAAGTATTACTTTAGAATCATGCTCCAAATAAAATAGAGTTCAATACCTCAGCACCACGCTCATTAGCAGGACATAACGCTGCTTCTGCTTCACTTAGAAGATCCATCTGAAAGCATGATAGTGCAAACAAGTAGCGGCATTGAGCCACTTGTGTTCCTTCATAAATCATCAGAAAAAAAGAAAAGAGGTCCATGTGGATGAGAAATACTATGATGGAAATAATAAATTCGCAATGAAAACCCACAATGAAAAAAGGGGAGTACTTAATATGACTTGCTTACCCTTTAAAATATGATATACAGCATAAGCTTGGTTGCTTTGCAAGTAACAGCCAGCTAACAACTGTAAATTCGTCTGCCATATAACAAATTTCGTATCAACTTCTGAAAATCCCATAACCTATCCGATTAATGCTAACAAAAATAGCACCAATGTAGTAAGTAAACCCCATTTAGAAATCCCATTATCTAAAAGCCCACACCTTTATACTTCATTCACAAAGAGCTAGCACAAACACTTTGCAGTCCAGAGCTCCAATAATTCAAAGCTCATAAAAAAACTGAAAGTAAATAATTAACCTTAAAAGAAAGCATTTTGTTCCAGAAAAAAAAATGTGAACCCCTAAAGATTCTAAAGCGACAAAACCCTAGTTCTCAAATTACAAAACACTAAATTACTCGGGCATAAGTAAAATCTTCACAAATTACTGGTAAACTAAACACGAAGCGTCGATCAACATAATAGAAGCGGTAATGTCCCCCAAACACAAGAAAAAGAAGAAATTTCATTCCGAATACGGCATATCTCACATTTTCTCTTTCTTTCATGGGATTTTCTCGGCAACCAAACAAGCAGGCGATGAAAAGAAAGAGAGTGAAAGAGTAGGTGGATAAGAGGTACCTCGGAGGGGAACTCGGCACAGAGGCGTTCGCATACGAAAATGGCGTTCCGGTGCATGAAATCACGGAGACTGTGCTGGACACAGTCTCGAAGTATCGCTTCCATGGCTGCTTGCTCTGATTGGGAGGAGAGAGAGAGAAGAGAGAGGGGGGTTTTGGTTTTGGGTTCAAATCAGGGCGGCACGTGTGGTCTCCTCATTTCAAATCACGCGTCAGGCGACATTGTCTTCCTTTTTATTTTATTTTTCCTTCTCTTTTTTCTTGATTTCAAAATACGTCCCAAAAAATAAATAATGAAAAAGAGAGATAATCTTGTAACGGTCAAGAAAAAATAATTTTATAGCTCTTTTTAGGAAAATGATCATCTCCGAATCCTTTCCATCTAGATCCTTCAAGATTGCTTGCATCCCTTGCCTGGAACAAGGCCTCGAAGCCATCACAACTTCTTCTCATTCCTCGAACAAGGCGCCATCAATCGCATCTACAATCTCGACAATGCCATCGTTTTCTTTGACGTATGCGCCCCTCTCAACCCTTTTACCATTAACACCATTGTTGCGGATCTCGAGGCAAAGGTCCTAAAGCTTTTGTTGTCATCGTAGCTTCTTCTCATTCTAATGGCGTCAAGGTCGTTTGAACGTTTTCTTGATCGTTTGATTTTCGATTGAACTGACATAGTGAAGGATCCGGAAGATCCGAATAAAAACAATCTATAGAGAATCATATTCCTTTTTTTGTTATAGCATAAACGATTTTCTATACTAAAATGACGAGATAGTTTAGACCCAAATCAATAGGTTAAAAAATAAGACCCTAACCACTAAGTCAAGTCACCACTTATTTTGTATATGTTAATAAAGATAAAAGAAGTTTAAAATTAATATAGTTTCATGAGCTAGCAAACACAAGATAATACCATAATTAGAATAATTCTAATAATTATACCAATAAATTTCAACTAGATAAATTCTAAAGTCATCGTCAAGGAATCAAGTGATGTATTTATTAGTTAAACATGACTCAACAATTTACGATTGGGCCGGCCCATATGAGGGGCCCAAAACTTTCCGGCTGCGAAGCAAAAACAACAAAAATAAAATAAAATATAAATACCTGGGAAATAAAAACCAACGAAAATAAAACGCAACACGTATGCTAGCGTCTACCGTTCGCTTCAATGGCCGACCAGACTGAAGCGCCACCGCCGGGTCAGAATCCCGTAGATCACGATGATCAGACGGCGGACGACGATCCGTCCTCGACGGTCCTCGATCTCACCAGCTTCCAGCTCCACGACCTCGACTCGGTCGAGTTACCGCCGAGTCTAACAGAGTTAGACCTGACGGCGAACCGCCTCACCGGTTTGGACCCTCGGATTGCGACCCTCTCCAACCTCAAAAAGCTCTCTCTCCGTCAGAACCTCATCGAAGACGCCGCCGTCGAACCGATCTCCGGCTGGGACGCCCTCTCCGGTCTCGAGGTAAATAAAAAAAGTTAAATGTGTTTTTCTCGGCGGTTTGTCTGGTTCCCGGGAAAATAAATTAAATGTGATTTTCTCGGTGATTTGTTTGGTTTCCGGGAAAATAAGATTGAATGTGATTTTCTTGACTGCCTGTTTGGTTCCCGGGAAAATTAACAGTTTTGAGGGATGCAGGAGTTGGTGCTGAGGGATAATAAGCTCGGGAAAATACCTGATGTCAGCATATTCACGAAGCTTCTGGTTTTCGACGTTTCGTTCAACGAGATTACATTGTTACATGGATTGGCCAAGGTCACCAGTACCCTCAAGGAGCTGTACGTGTCTAAAAATGAAGTCACCAAGATTGAAGAAATTGAGCACCTCCACGAGCTTCTGATTCTCGAGCTCGGTTCGAATCGATTGCGGGTTAGTTCTATTGAGCGTTTGAGATTATGTACATGGAAATTATTGATAATGTAGCAAACCTAGCATCCGGCTTGTTCTGATTGCATGATGAAATGCAAATCAGGTGATGGAGAATTTGCAGACCTTGACAAAATTGCAGGAGCTGTGGCTGGGGCGGAATCGGATTAAGGTGGTGAATTTGTGTGGGTTGAAATGCATCAAGAAGCTGAGCTTGCAAAGCAATCGGTTAACTTCAATGACGGGATTTGAGGTAAGTGATTTGCCACCACGATTTGTGTGAGGCGGAAATCTCAAATGCATTTGTTGTATAAATATTGAAACTTTATATCGTTCTACCTTTTGCAGGAGTGCGTTGCTCTAGAGGAGTTGTACTTGAGCCATAATGGTATTTCAAAAATGGAAGGCCTCTCAACATTAGTCAACCTACGTGTCCTGGATGTATCGAATAATAAGCTAACATCGGTGGAGGGTATAGAAAGCCTAACAATGTATGTATTAGACCTCTTTCTCGCTATTGGGTTTGATGTTGGTCTTGTCGGTTCTATATTCTTATGGGAATCTTGTGCTATAGGTTAGAAGATCTATGGCTTAATGACAACAGCATAGAGTCACTTGAAGGCTTTGCCGAGGTTCTTGCTGGTTCAAGAGAGAAGCTCACTACCATCTATCTCGAAAAAAACCCATGTGTATGTTTATCTGTAACCTGCAAACGTACTATATTTTAAGTTTTACTGTTGTATTCATTTAACATGCTTAGATTCCGTTTAAGGAAGTTTAAAATTACCGTGTTGATAAATGCCAAGTGGTACGAGAGTTCATGCAAGTCTAATGCTTTGGTCAAATAAATATAGTGGCGAAACGTACTACCAGCTGCAGCAATATTCTGATATACATACATGTTTGTTGAAAGTGCAGAGTCCGTTAGAGAAAAAGGAAGAATAGTGGTTGCAAGATTTCGTAGGTCTGGATATATATTACATGTTTACATCCTTTAGGGTTATCATGAAGGCAAACCATACTATGTGTCTATGAACTAATTTCAAGTAACAAAGAAGACTGTCGAACAGATAACGACAATGTACATAAATATATAATTGGTTCTGCATTCCTTTCTGTGTTGATATGCTTTGTTTGGTTTGTTGATAAATGTGTTTCATATGCTTTTAAAATTATTTATATTTGGTCATGCATCTCGTATTGCAGGCAAAGTCTCCAAACTATGCTACTACCTTGAGACAAATCTTCCCAAATATCGAGCAAATTGATTCTCATATGTTTGCATAAAAGCATTCATGGCTTCAGCTCTCTCAGCATAATTTTCATGGAGCGCCACCGCAAATACAAAATTACAATGTAGGTATTCTTTCTCGACTATGTCCCAGTGGTTATGGCAGTGCCTCCTTAAAATGAACTTATTTGTAATGTTCGAGTTTTCATGGATGTTGTTTGCAGGTAAACTGTTGCTCGGAAGGCTACTTCCGGAGCGCCAGAGTGCCGAATTTGAAAAGAGACTCCGCAAAATAGCGATAGATTTCTATATCATGGATGGCTCAAGAACTCACTCGAAAGTTGTTTAAAACGAATTTTCCGTATTGTTTTCTGAAGTTATTTAAACCACCCTCCTCTTACTTCTTTTCCTTTTAATCCTTCTAATTTATGTGTGTAATGTTGAATCTATCATTTATCAATCCTTAGTACATGACTTTTTGATTGCATCATTTCTGGATGCCGAGAAGGTGCTTTAAACTTACAGATGTAATACTAGATTTACTTCTCCATCGACCTCCACATCGCCGAGATATTTTTAGTGTATCGACAACACGGTCCGATACAACAAGCGTCCTCGGCACACCAAACATCTCTTCGCATTGCCATTTCATTGTTGATGTGTTATCCGTGCACACTCGTACGTTGCACGTTGTGTATTAGCAACGTTCTATCAAATGTTCTTTACCTTATAAAGCAACCCGAAGAGTGCATGATGACTTTTTCGGAATCAGAACTCCGGGATGATGCAATAACTATGAAATATTCCAAAGAGATCGAACGAAATTTTGCACAAGTCACATAAAGTAGGGATGGTAACCAAAAACTGCATCAAAGAAAATTGTAAAAACATCTTACAATTTGAAGTATGAACGTTTATCTCCACAAACATAGGCAGCCAATTGCTTTCAAGAACTAAAGAGCCACATTCATAACTTTCCAGACCAAAATAGATACGTAAATTTAAAGACTTGCAGTTCCGAACAGCTTAGCGACCCCTTTCAAAGCCAATACGAGTTCTGCTGGAGCCGCCTTCATAGGCATCTCGCATGGAAGAGCCGCCACTTGCTCTCATTGTTCCTCCTGTTCCAACCTTATCAAGCGCTTTCTTGCCGCCCTTCTTCACCTCTGTCAAGAACTGGTCAAGACCAAATGGATCAGCTTCTTCCACAGCATCCTTCTCAAACTCGACTGGTCTATCTCTTGGCCCTGCCCTCTCAGCAGCTCCTCCAAATCCTCTGTCGGGTTTGAAGCGATCAGTCTTCATAATCTTATCCAACTGCTCATCAGCACCGCCATACATTTCACCATCAACATCCTTTTTAGGCCTGTATAGAGTTGAGAGTGTCGGCTGAGCAGTAAACAAGCCTTTGTCGTAAACATTGTACTGGTCATCAGTGGCAAACCCGGAGTCCATTCCTTTCTCCTGGTTGAATAGCCTCTGATCATACATAACCTCTCCCCCTTTGCCTGCTCCCGCCGAAGCCATGCCAAGAGCAACTTTCTCGCTAATATCACGATCTCTATCTCTCGTAATTTTACTTTTCTTCCCCACTGCTACATCTTTGGCCTCCAACCTTCTCTCCCTTTCTCTCTCTTTGCGCCGCTCTTCGCGGATCTTGTCCCTCCCAATCCTCTCTTCTTCCTTTTCTCTTGTCCCCTTTGGATAATCCATTTCCTTTTCCCTTGTTGGACGCCCATAATCCCCTCTCATATCAGTATCCATGGCTGTTCTGTCAGAAGCCATTGGAACAGCTGCAGGGGGCGCAGCACCTGTTCTCTCAGAACGCGCTTTCTGCGCTAATGCCCTCAACTCCTGCTCTTTCTTTTCTTTCTCCTTCATCAACATTTCCTTCTGAACTTTAGATCTCATAGCAACTGCCTCTCTAGCCTTCTGCTCCGCAACATACAAAGACTCAGAGAGCTTTGCAAAATTATCATTAATCTGAACATCTTGAAGGCCTCTCCCATCAGCTGCAAGACGTTTGTCCAATGGAATTGTATACCCTTTTGGGTTCTTCCAGTTTGAAATACAAGGTGGAATCTTCCAATCCTGCTGGTCTTTCACAGTCACCGGCCGAGGAGGGGAATGCATGACCGGGACAGGTGGGGATCCAGAAGCCCTCGGAACACGCTTATGCTTGAACTTCGGAGGCTCAAGTGGATCCACAGGCATCTCGTTCATCATGATAATCCTCTCCTTGGCACCAGAATTAAATGCCTCCGATTTCTGTGACGGTTTATACTTGATATATTGCGATTCTGACGACTGCTTGGCCACATTTTTCGGCTGTGCAGCGCTCAATCTCACATTCACAATCTTCTCAAGCGCAGCTTTTGTTTCTGCCGTCGTTTCTTCAATCACCTTCTGCTCCTCCTCATCCTCATCCTCTTCCATCTCCTCTTCCGCATCCTTCAAAATTTTTGGCACAATATCCTTATGCTGAGAATACACAATCTTTCTCGAGTTCTCATTCTGCTTAACAATAGCATCATACGCAATCTCCCCATTCGCATCAACCGAAACTGGAAGAATCTTCGTCCCGGGTTTCGACAACTTGTCCCTGCCCATGCCAAGAGGGTACTGAGCAATGTGAATCTCCGGGAAAGCACCGCCTTCCCCGAAATCCTCCACCTTCCTAGGAACAAAGCCTTGACGTTTCAAGTACTGAGGCACAGGATTAGGTTTAACGACAGCTGCAGATCTTTCTGCCTCGGCAGAACTGAACCGCTGCTTGAACCACGGATCGTTCGAGTGGTCGTAATAAGTCGTTGTGGTTGCCGCCGGCGGCGGAATCAGCTCCTTCAGAGACGTCATGGTCGATAATCTCCTCCTCCTCCAACCCCAAACTGTTCCAATTTCACAGGGTACCAAAATAAATAAATAAATTCAAAACTTCCGAATAACAAAATTTAAAATTAAACAAATAAATCGAGTTCATATATTCCTGTCGATACCCAATCAGATTGAACTCAAAATATTCAATTTAACAATCAAATATTAATCAAACAAGCAATAATTTACGATTAATTTACCCTAAGAACGCGATTAGAACACGAATTTTGAAAAACCCTAACCTTCGATCGGGCAAAAAATAAGAACAAATTGAATTGGAAAAATAAAATAGCGGATGGATAGAATCGAATGCGAACCTGATTGGCAGCGTTAGGGTTTCTGAGATTTTTGTGTTGGTCGAAGAAGGGTTTCTGAGATGAGATTGGGCGGTGGTTTAAACTTAAGGGCTCGTTTGTTTGACCTTCTTAGCTAGGATTGGACTAGCTAAGATTAATAACCCACGTTTGGCATTGTTATGGACTAAGTTAAATGGGACAAGCCCGGACTCGCATGGACTACCAGCCTCGTTAAGTCGTCCTAATTAGTCCGACCCAAAAGCATGGGATTGCTAAGAACCTCAATACGCTGCTTCCCTCGCCGTCTCCTTGCGTGAATTGGTGGGAGCGAACCGTTGTTCTTCGTCAAAGCTATTGATCCTCTGGTGAGCTTCCAGAACAAGTCTCCTTTCTCTCTCGGATCAATATGGGAATTGGGGGATGAACTTGGTAATTAGAGCTGCTCATGAACTTGGTCAATTTGCCTTAAAAAATGATAATTATTTCTCTTGAATTGAAGAAGAACCATCTGGCTGTCCCTTTTTTTCCATGCTGATGTTGTGCCCATTGGATGCAGTCAAGAAATTCCGATAAAAATTTTCAAAGCTCTTGTTGAAGCTCGGCCTTGGTAGCTTGACAATTGTGTCCTATTTCTGATGGGTGAGTGGGTCGGCGCATGGGAGGGCTGAAAGAGCACTGCCCAGATGAAGATTGAAGACGATGGAACAAATTGTCAAATTCCGGTTTCGTCAATTTTGGAGGAGAGAGGATAAAACGGTGGTGTTCTACTGGATTTGATCTTTTATTATTTATTTTTTTATTAGTTTTTAGTTTTTAGTTTTTTTTTTTTTTTTGAAACTGAGTTTTTAGTTTTTCTTTTGTTAAGTAAGTGTGGATTAAAAATGAAAAAAAAAAACGATTTGAGTCCTAAAATATTTTAGTCTATAGTTTAGTCCAATACTGTACCAAACACTTCACTATTCTTATCCTGCTTAGTCCAAGCCAAGCCAGTCCAGCTTAGTCCCTAAAGTTAGTCCAGTCCGAGATAGTCCGGGGCAACAAACGCACCCAAATGGATTACTGAGTTGATAAAAAGGAATTTGCACTAATAGTCCCTGTAATTATTTGGATTTTATTTTTGTCCCTATAATTTTTTTCATTTAATTTTACCCTTGGAGTTTAGTTTTGTTTGCACTTTAAATGAGTTGACATTTTCATTCTTGTCCACGTCATCATTAATTTGAAAGAAAAAGGGATCATCTCTGAATCCCTTCTACCAAATCCACCAATTTGGCTTGTTGAAATTTGATCTAACTGCTAAAGTTATTATAACTTTTAAAAGAACCCCTATTTTTAGCCGTTTGATTAAATTTTAAAGGTCCGAATTGGTAGATTTGATGGAAGAGATCCGGAGAGGATCCCTGTCCATTTTGAAAAACCTAGTTTGGATGCAAGGAACTTGTATCTCAATTTAATAAGAGCGTTCACCCTTACTCACAGTTTATTAGTTTTGATTTCATTTTCGATTTCTTCTTCACTTCTATGCCCCCTTAAAAATATGAGTCGAAAAAGTTTTAGTTTGTGTTAAGAAAAATGAAATTACATCAATGAACATGAAAATTGAGATAAACTAAAATGATTACTAGTGTGATATCCTTTTAATTTGGGGACATGGTTCATATATATCTTAGTTACTTACTCAAATTTATGGATAGACATAGCTTAGTTAGTTCAGCTTCACCTATGCCAAAAAGTCAAAAGAAGCATTTGTTTGATTTGATCCAATCCATATTCGATTTGGGGTGGAACCAAGATAATTTTTTCTCTGTTGGACTTGTCAAATCATTTACTTGAAGCTCAGGCTATAAGTTACTACTCCAGAAAACTTCTTCCATTGCCGAATGTGTTGCTTCAGATATATAGGAACTGCAATGGAGCCATATATATCTCAGTTGCGATTCGTTCAAGAGAGAAGCTCACTCTCTCTCAGTTGCGATTTGTTCAAGATCGAAGCTCACTCACTCGGTTGCAATTCGTTTAAGATTTTCTAAATTGTGTTAATAGTACTCTTACTGTTGTTATTTTCCTTTTTACTTCAGTTTTTATGAGGTAAGGTTGTTTAGTCCTTGTCCTTGGTATGTTGTATATATCAGTTTTGGATGCTGAGAAGTGGCTTTGGATTAACAAGTTTTATGTTTCAATATATAGCTCCTTGCTCTGCATGCCATTGTTGATTTGATGGTATACGTTCCAGTATGGTGCGTTAACGAGAAGAACTTTCATGGCAAGGACCAGTGTCACGGGTTCTAGCTCCATCGCCTAGTTTAAGTCTTCGAATCTC